AAGGAATCCCTACTAGGATAAATTCAGTCACGGATGATGTATTTGCCATTACTTCAATGGATGCAGAATGACAACTACCCCTCCCAAATGGCTCGGAATGGAGACAAAGAAATATTTTTAGCTTCATGTGAAATGAAGACTTCAGGAACTGATATTATTTTGGTTGCCAGGTTCAGTGCAGTAGAACAGTCGGCATGTTGGACTAGAAGTTGGGATATCCAGATCGAAATGCCATCTTTGTGTGACCATGTGCATACAGATATCCCATAATAGGTCAGTCACATCAATAGCTGTCAGAAAAGAAAATGAAATCCTTTAAAAAAGGTGTTGGTATCAGTCAGCACAATTCCATTGTGTATCAATAAAAATACTTGTCTGTCAAAGGATTGTTACTTACTTGGTTCAACAGTAGGAAGGTATACTTGATGTTTCTGCAAAGGGGGTTATTACAAAGGTTTGGTTTCCACACTGAGATTCTGTAGAGTTCACCTGAAGTAATAATGTGTATTGGCCAATGATTTACTTAAATGTAATTGGATTTTTTAAAAAATCTTCATTTGTACTTCTATAATCTTAGCACAGAAACAGAGGGAGATAGAATCATCTTTAGAATTAAAAAAAAACTTCCTTCCTTCCTTCCTTCCTTCCTTCCTTCCTTCCTTTCCCTTCTTTCCCTTCTTTCTTGAAATTTCAGACATTCTTTATAGCTGCATCTTCTTTCCCCCTTCTCCAGTTTGGTATAGTGGTTAAGTGTGCAGACCGTAATCTGGGATAACTGGGTTTGATTCCCCACTCCTCCACCCACAGCTGCTGGATGACCTTGGGCAAGCTATAGTTCTGTCAGAGGTGTTCTTGAAAAAGAGCAGTTTCTGTCAGAGCTCTCTCAGCCCCACCTACCTCACAGGGTGTTCATTGAGGGAAGGGGAAGGGAAAGGAGTCTGTAAACTGCTCTGAGAGTCTGAGTGAAGGGCGGGGTATAAATCCAATCTCCTCCTCCTCCATTATTTCCTCTTTTCCTGCCCTGGCATACCCCCTAGATTCTCCCCTATCCCTGCTTCCTTCTCGCCTCCCCACCCATCAGCGTACTGACCATTATATGTCCCTGTCTTCAGATTTCCCTTCAGCTCGCAGTTTCTCCCCAGAAAATCTCTGCATGGTGCCAGTCACCAGGTTGGGCCCAGCTGCACATCTATAAGAAGAAGACCCCGCTTTTCTCTACCCAAGGGAGACTCGAAGCAGCTTTCCCTTCCTCTCTCCACAACAGACATCCTGTGGGGTAGATGGGGCTGAGAGGGCTCGGACAGAATTGTGACTGGCCCAGGGTCACCCAGTAGGCTTCATGTCAATCAGGAGTGGGGAATAAAAATGCCATCATCCAGATCAGGGTCCACCACTCTTAACCACTACACCACACTGGCTCTTGAGGACGTATAGAGAGCACATCCTTCTCCCCTGTACGCCCTTCCCCGCACTATTTTTTTCTTTTCCTCCTGCTGACAGTCCTCACACCCTCACCTTCTCTTTCTTCCTTTTCTCTTTTTCACACATAAACCAATCTGCTCTTATCCCCACCACACACTTTCAGCCATATTAATATTTCATTATTTCCACAACGGAAACCCCAAGCAGATCACATCATTCTCCTCTCCTCCATTTTATCATCACCTATGAACTAGGTAAGACTGAGAGTGTGTGACTGGCCTAAGGCGACCCCAGTGGGTTTCCATAGCAGTGTGGAGATGTGTGCCTGGGTTTCTCAGATCCTAGCCTGAAAGTCTAAACATTGAATCCTATTAGCTTTCATGGAGTGGCTCCTGTTGAACAGTAGAAAGCAGTTGAGGCTGGGTGAGTCATGCAAGTTTCATGTTATCAGAGGTCATTTTGGGGGGATCGTGGGGGATCACAGTTCCCCCGGGTGAGGTACGGGGGGGCAGGGCACATGACGAAGCCCCACCCCCTGCTCCCGGCCGCCCCGCTTCCGGCCCTCATTCAGTCAGGAGGAGGCAGGAGAAGAGGGAGGGTAAGTTGCTTCCTCTCTGCCTCTCCCCACCCCTGCCTGCCTGGGGCCAGGGAGGGCCTTCGCAGGGCTTCCTTGCACTCCCGCCGGCCTTGCAGGTCCACCGCTGGGCCCCTCATGGGGCTCGGCAGTGGAGCTGCAAGGCCAGCGGCGGCGGCCGGGACCGTTGGGAGCAGGGTGTGTGGCCTTATGACACACTTCCGGTGATGTCAGGGTGTGTGGCATATGCTAATGAGTTATGCTAATGAGTTCCCCTAGCTCTTTTTCTACGAAATGACCCCTGCATGTTATCAAGTCCATTCCACATCACACTTGAGTCACTGACAAAGTAGAAGCACGAGCAATTATGGTTCTTTTTGACCTGAGTGGATGATCTTCTAGTAATCCCTGGTCTGATGATCATATGAAGTGTCATATGTAGTTAACACCAGTTAGTTTACCTGCTTTCTCATCCAAAGAGCTGACCATAATAGAACTCCCATATTCCTGGGAGTGATAGAGTCATACTATCCACAGGCTCTGACTCAGGGGGCTAGGGCTCAGTGGTAGAGCATCTGCTTGGCATGCAGAAGGTCCCAGGTTTGATGCACAGCATCTCCAGCTAAAAGGATCAGGTGGCACTGGTAGGTGATGTGAGAGATCTCCACTGGAGATTCTGGAGAGCTGCTGTTGGACTGAGTAGACAATATTGACCTCGATAGACCAATGTTTTGATTCAGTATAAGGCAGATGCGTGAAGTCATGTGACAATTTTATGAAGGAATCCTTGATATTTGACTTACTTTTTCCCAGGAGGAACTGACAGGGGTCCTTAACCTTTCTTCTTACACTTTCCAAGGAGGAACTGACAGACTTATTCCATACTGGGGGACTTAGCAAAGCTTCAAGGTTTCAGTTTTTCCTAGTCAAATAACATCAGGGGAAAGGGTAAACTGCACTCCCTCCCACCACCAGTGCTCTGTACCAGAAGCATGGTCCCAATGGCTAAAAGAAATCAGTAGACCCAGAGTCAGATCTCCAGTGTCCTATTTCATAGATTATGATACCACTAAAGGTGAATGTTCCAAAGTTGTGGGGCAGCCAATGCAATGACATCTATCTACACCCTTGGTTACACATATAACCAACAAAGCAATCCCAGATTATTTTGAACTTTGCGAATGAATCTGAGGGATGTGGAATGATATAGTATAGCCCAGTCTTGTCAGATCTCAGAAGCTAAGGAGGATTGGTACTTGGATGGGACACCACCACGGACGTCTTTGCAGAGGAAGGCAATGGCAAGCCACATCTGCTAAATCACTTGCCTTGAAAACCTGATGGGGTTGCCATAAATTGGCTGCAATTTGATGGCATGGCCATATGATGAATGGAGCTTTGACTCTCAAAAGGTTATATCCCAAAAAACCTTGTTCTCTAGAGTGCTACTGGAATTGCGTGTAGCTGTTTTACTGCAGACCAACGGTAGCTACCTTCTGAAACTACATAAGAACATAAGAGAAGCCAATATTGGATCAGGCCAATGGCCCATCTAGTCCAACACTCTATTACACAGTGGCCAAAATACCAGGTGCCATCAGGAGGTCCACCAGTGTGGCCAAGGCACTAGAAACCCTCCCACTATTGCCCCCCCCCAAGCACCAAGAATACAGAGCATCACTTGCCCCAGACCGAAAGTTCCTATCTATATCTTCTGGCTAATAGCCACTGATGGATTTCTGCTCCATATGCTCATCTAATTCCCTCTTGAAGCTGTCCATGCTTGTGGCCGTCACCACCTCCTGTGGCAGTGAATTCCATATGTTAATTACTCTGTGATTAATCTCTCAGCTTTTATTTCATTTTTTTAAATTCCAAACAGAAAAAATAATAACTATAACAATATCTAACAACCAATATAACTGCAATGAACATCTCTAAAAGGTTTCCAGATATCTAAAATAGTTCCATGCACCATTTTAATCTGTATGACATGCTTTTGAATTTTGATAAAACTTTAAGGTCCTTAATCCATTGGATTACTGGAGGTGACCATTTATCTTCAGTATATAAGTCTTTTAGCATTAGTAAGGGCATGAAAGGTCCATTTTCTATTTTGGGGATATTTTTTGTAGCAGTGTGTGTGTCCTTGCCTGGAAGTCATGGTGACCTCTGGTGACTCCTACTGGGGCATGGAGGACATTCAGAGAAGTGGCTTGATAGCCTGTCTCTGCCTCCCAACTCTGGTATTCAGTGGAGGTTTCCCAGCCTAATACTTGCCAGGATCGGCCCTGCTTAGCTTCCAAGATCTGATGAGGTCGGGCTTGCCTGGGCTATCCAGGTCAGGGCGAGGGTCCCTTTTCTATCAGTCATTCTCCAGAGACAGGCAAATAATTTAAATGTACAGAAGCATCCTCAACCATCAATGGATATTCTAATATAAAACTGATATGAGTAAATACTTCTCTCAGAAAAGACTGAATAACTGGACAGGCCCAAGATATATGTTTAAGAGACATATTTTGTAAGTTGCCGTGCCAACAATTAAACACTTTATACTTTATCCTTTTCTGAAAAGGCACTGCAGTGGCTGTATATCCTACACGTAATGTTTTTGCTCAGTAGGTCACAGCTTAATGTCCATAGAAACAGCAGGTATTTGGTAACATAGGGCAATCTAGCTCCTCATTCCATTCATTTCTGAAACTTCACTTGTCACATTTTTTTGGTCAACATCAAACATTTATAAACAAATATAAATTAATCTTCGGTGTTTTGTCTAGTCAGATTTTAATGGGACTCCAACAGAAAGGAGTAGCTATCATCACGAATATGCCTCTCCATGTGTTTAACAATGCAGTGTATTTGTTGATGAGACTGAATCACAGACTTGAATATAAGGGGAAGAAATTGGAGAAGTTGCTTGCCTCCATGGTGGTCATGGTCCCCAAAATGCAGAATGTCCACTTAAATAAATAAATAAATAAATATGGTGAAATTAAAATCAAGAAGACGCATGCTTATACAGAAATACCCTTTTTATGGCTTCCTTCAACACTTCTTTCACTTTCTCATTCCTGAGGCTGTATATAAAGGGGTTCAAAAGTGGGGTCACCACTGTTGTCAGGATAGCTGCAACCTTATCAAAGGCAAGAGAGTAGCTCTGGTTTGGACGGACATACATAAAGATGGAACTCCCATAGGCAATGGTGACCACAGTGATGTGAGAGGCACAGGTGGAAAAGGCCTTCTGCCTCCCTTTTCCAGAAGGGATTTTGAGGATGGTGGAGATGATGTAGGTGTATGATACCACAGTGAGCATCAAGGAACTGAGGACCACTAGGGAAGACATGGAGAAATCAAGGAGTTCTATGAAATGGGTGTTCACACATGCCACCTCCAACAATGGTGCAATGTCACAAAAGAAGTGGTTGATGGCATGCTTACAGAAAGGAAGTCTGGAGATAACAATTGTGGGACAAAGGACTGACAGAAAGGCTCCCACCCAACATCCCAAAACCATTAAAAAGCAGACTCGTCCATTCATAATTACAGTGTACCTCAGTGGGTTGCATATAGCCACATAACGGTCAAAGGACATGACAGCAAGAAGGATGAACTCCACCGTCCCCAGGAAGAAATAGAAATAAGTCTGGGTGATGCAGCCACTGAAAGAAATTGTTTTCTTCTCAGCCAGAAGGTTCGAGAGCATCTTGGGGGCAATCACTGTGGTGAAGAGGATGTCCAGGAAAGACAAGTTGCTGAGGAAGAAATACATTGGAGTATGGAGGCTTTGGTTGGTCCATATAAGGGAAAGGATGACCACATTTCCCACGAGGGTGAGGAGATAAGTGAGAAATAGGACCACAAATAAGAGGATCTGCATTTCTCGGTGGACTGGGAAGGACAGGAAGACAAATTCTTTAACTGATGATTGGTTGCCAGAGTCTGGCTCCATTTGTCGTTCCCTTTGAAAAGACAAAAGAAATCTGATAAAGAACCCTTGAGTTAAAAACCCATCTTAGCAAAAACTTCTTAGACTTCCTGCACTCAATGAAAAACTTAAATAAAGAAACAATAATTACCTTGAGTGCAAAAATGAAATGAGTGTGATAGAAACAGAAATACTGCTGTAAATCAGTTTAGGATGTTATCGGGAGAACATTGTGAACACCCAGGCCTTAAGATCCATATAGAACAAACACAACATATGTAACCATATTAGATTTAAATGAATATCTTGACAGTTTCATGTGGAAAAAATAGTGCAATCATGAAAGATACTACTAAGAAAGAAAGAGGGAATAATTTACAGGTCTTATGGAGGTACATTTCTTTATCAACATCGTGATACATTTATGTTCAGTGAGACTTGTAAATTCAAGACTGGTGTCTCAGCTAATTAAAGCCAAATATATTCAAGCAAAATGTTTTAGATTTCTGATGTCATGACTAGTATGTGATTCATTAAGGACTTTATGACTGGGAGTGTCAATAATCTTCTGTAAGCACACATACATAAAATCGGGTGAAACATTTATTCTTATGGACAACATAATACATGATCAAAAATATTCTAAGGAACACAGTGAAGTGGAAGGCAGATCAAATACTAAAGTCCTCATAGATGCTTCATGAAGGAGGACCTCACATTCTCCCTGAACTTTTTAAGATGATGATGATGAAGAAGAGATTGGATTTATACCCCGCCCTTCACTCGGATGGAGTCTCAAAGCGGCTTACAAACCCCTTTCCCTAACCCTCCCGACAACAGGCACCCTGTGAGGTAGATGGGGCTGAGAGAGCTCAGACAAAAACTGCCCTTTTTTCAAGAACAGCTCTGACAGAACTATGGCTTGCCCAAGGTCATCCAATAGGTGCAAGTGGAGGACTGGGGGATCAAACCCAGTTCTCCCAGATTACAGTCTGTGCACTTAACCACTACACCAAACTGGCTCTCACAGGATCTTATTCATAAAGTTGGTATTCATAAACATGGTGAGACAACAAGAGTTGTCCATTGTTGTTCACCCCCAGGAACTGATATTCAGATGTGCACTGCCTCTGGTTATGGATTAGGACTAAGATCTGTTGATAGACCTATCCTTCATGAATTTATCTAATCCTTTCTAAAGTTGTCTGGTGTCTGTTACCACATCCTTTGATGACAAATTGAATACTTTATTTTGGCTGTCCTGTACTACTGGTGAATTTTATTGAGTTGCTCAGGTTTATTGAGTTACTTTATTGTGTAATGACAGAAGAAGGAAAGTTCACTCTATCCACGCTCTCCACAACATAAATAATTTCATAAACTTGCATCATAAACTTGCCCCCATCAACTTTTCCCATGAACAAGCAAGCTACAAAAATATTTCATTTGGGACTGTGCTTCAAGAAGACTTTGATCCTTTGGTCACCCTTTTATACATTAGGATTGCATAAGATTCACCTTGCTGCAACAAACCAATGAGGCTTTTTATTCACATGCTTTCTTCTACTCATCCTTGAAACCACCTCCATAGTTGGGGTCCAGCACTCTCTCATTCTATGCCATAATTGTTTAGAAACCAACTCACCTTACTTATGTAGTTGTAAGGCTGCCATCCACCCACTCTGATGTTGGAATCTTGCCTTCATTTGATCTGGTGGAAAAGAGGATTATTTGCCCATCCGTGGTATGATGTATGGCTCAATGAATGATCCTGCCAATAAAGTAGTAGAAACTTCCTTGAAGGTCCTGCAGTGACTGAATAGAGGAGTCTTTTTCTTGGTCAGGGAACAGAGAAAAAAAAAGAAGTACCAGGAGTCTCAAAATAGGAAAGGAAAAGGGGACACAATGGTATACTGTCAAAACAACTAGGAATGGACAAATCCAGCTGTTATGGGAAGGTAACTAGTGATCCCTCAGTCTCTTCCTTGGTATCATCAATTGAACTGTTCATGAGCATGCATAGAGTATAAAACTGAGTAGCAACACTTACTTCAGTTAAAAAGAGATGTCTATCCAAGAACTACGTGGGTTAGAAAAAGACGAGGACTGGATTCAGTACATTGAGCAGGGAGGTTCTATTTCCCACAAAGGCAAAGTAGAAAACAAAGCAAAGCACATTACTCCTCATACCGTCCCCAGTCTTCCAACCTGACTTGACTGGTGGCCCCCAGGTATCCATCCAGTGGGAATCTGCAGACACGACCCAGGAATTAACTGGTTTTTCTCTGACTGGACAGGGGGAATGAAGACAGGGGGGAAATATTTTTGATCTTTCTTTTATTGTTTGATGGGATCTTAGAGCAGTATTACCCCAGTGATTTAATTTCAGAACTTGGGAGATCATTTTCTAACTTCATTGGGTGAGACGTCAGAAATATTCCAAAAGAGGGAAATAGAGAGACCTCCTGCTGGGCTTCCTGCCACCTTCTTGAGGTTTTTATGGAACAGCTAACTTGATTCAGCTTACACACAGCGAAAGGAACATTTGTGGTGTTTGGGGATGAAGGACACAAAGGACCACAAACATATGTGGAGGCCTTTGCAGGACCAGGGAGCTTAACACCTGCCATGTCACAGCAAATAAAGATGGTGGGTTTACTACTAAAATGAACAGTAGGTTTTTTTTTTTTGTGCAGTATATTCTAAAATGAACAGTAGTGACAGGGAGTTCTACTGGATTTCTATGAAATCCACTCCTGCCGTTGCTTGTAACTCATAAGGGGAGCATACCAAAACAATACACCATAAGGCTGTGATCACACACACTAAATAATCCACTTTCAATGCACTTTCCAACCGGATTTTACTGTGTAAACTGGCAAAATCCAGTTGGAAAGTACATTGAACATGGATTGAAAGTGGAATATTTAGTGTGTGATTGCAGCCTAAGTTTTCTAATGGTTTCCAATCAAAAAGAAAATAAGAGTGCGTGAAAGTCTTGGTTTATAGATGACAATCTCCTCTCTCTAACTCCCTTTTCTCACCTTCCCTACTTCTCTAACTCATAAAAGTCCATCTCCAATGGTGTGGGAATGGTTTAAAGACCTGACTCAGTGCTTGCTTCAGTTTCTCATCTTCAAGGGATTTAATTTCTTAAGAACTTTCATGGTTCTCATGGGACCAATTTGCCAAGTATTTCTTTGTCCCAGGGCTTCTTCATTGGCAAGATTCTCAGTTGAAGGTAATCTAAAGAAATGGTGATATTCAGCATAAAGAACATCAAAGTTGCTCCCTTTTGTGTCCCAAAGTAGAATGAGAACCATTATGTAAATGAGCTGATTATGTAAATCCGTTGATATCATGCTGATAAAGTTAATTTCACTGTGTGTGCTAATGTTAACATGTGTGTGTAAACTTTTCACTTACATGATTTTTGTTGTCCAAATATAATGTAAATACTTATTTTATTTATTTACACAATTTTCTCCCAAAGATCCACTCCAAAACTGCCTCCAGCATACTAGTGCTGAACCAATTGTTCGTCCATTTCAATACACAGGCTGAAAGGAGGGCTTTCAAGATGAACAAGATAGTTTCCATTTCCATTATGCAAATATTCACTTTTGTTAGCATTCTTGCATGCTGCCACCATTTCTCTGTAGGGTTACCTTGCACGGAACGACAACCAGTGTGTGAACAGGTGGGGGTAGGGATCTGGTGGGTGGTGGCTGTCAGTTACACTGTATCATCACTTCTGGAAACCCTCTATTTGCCCCCCAATCCGGAAGAAAGACAGACACGTTTCTTGGGTACTGAACGGGCCACTTTATTAACTTCCTAACAATAATAACAACAACAATGAACAGCAAGGGCACTACAGATTGTGGCATGACCAGGCCAGGGGTCCTCGACCCCTCCCCAGCCATTTGCACTAGGGCGATCCACCCAGCCCCAGCTGGTAGCCAAAGGTATGGCTCACAACCAGTCAGCACGGCAAGTGGATGATGGCCAGGGACAAGCCAGAACCCCTGAGCCTCGAGGCTCAAAGGGATGGCAATCCCGGGCAATCATCTAGGCGGTCGGCTTTCCCCACCCCGGGCCACAGGGCCCAAAGACTGTACTGGCAAGACCCCTATGCCCCAATCGGGGTTATATGCCGGTGGTCACCATGCCACAATCTGATAAACTAACATCCTGCCACTGCAAAGGCCAAGCCTCTGCTTAGGCCGTGCTCCCATTACTTCCTAAAGCTGCTCGAAGCCCTTGCTGAATCTCGTCCAAGAAAATGTCTAAACCTGCCTCCGACAGATGCACACCGTCACTCCGGTA